AGTGGGATCATCTACTGACTGGCGTGATTACTGAACTTTGCAGCCAAACGATGAAAGCGTGTGATTAATAAGCAGGTGATCATCGCGCATTAACCCGTGCCCGACCTTCGTAAGTCGGTAGATCGCCGGATTATTTTAAGACGTTAAAACCTCAATATTTCCCAAAAAAGAGATATAAAAGGTGCATTTAATTTTGAGCTGTCACGTCTTCTTCATCACAACGTACACTGAATTTGAACACGAGTCTGCAAGTATGGCATTGTCTTTCTCGTACATCGCAAGTTTGAACTTCACTCTTCATTCCACACTCGCACCATCGGTAGAATACGATTACGAGTTCAATTGGAACGAAACATGTAAAGATTTCCAGCAGCCGATCATAGAGACCTTTATATGGACTTTACTTTTTGGCGCGATGATTATAACCGCTGCGGTGGGCAACTGCATTGTTATGTGGATCGTCCTCGCCCATCGCCGTATGAGAACAGTGACTAACTATTTCATCGTTAACTTAGCTCTCGCCGATGCCCTAAACGCGATTTTCAATATCTCGTTCACTTTCACCTACGTACTCCGAAACGATTGGTATTTTGGGAATGCTTATTGCAAGATTGTACGATTTATCTCACCATTAGCAGTAGCTTCAAGTATATTCACTCTGATGGCTATAAGTATAGACAGATATATCGCGATAGTTCATCCCATGAGACCGAGGATGTCAAATATCCTCGCTAAAACGATTATTGTAGTCGTGTGGATTGCGTCAGCCGCAATCGCCCTCCCTTGGCTTATATTTACCAATATCGACTTTAGTACATGTCCTCCTCCTGCGATAACAGACACGCCCATCTACGTACGTCGAGTCTGTGCTACAATATGGCCCGACCAGGAAAATTATGGAGATTGGTATTTCTGGTGAGTTTCTTGTAACAGCATGATATAATTTACAAAATGAAGTTCGGAATACAAGTGACATATTAATATTATCTTGAAAAGATAAAGTTTGAAATAATAATTAAAATTTTATAGCTGAAATTAGGAAATGATTGTATGTGTACGGGTAGAGTGAGAAGGCGAGTTATAGTATCGGAGAATTTCCCGAATATTATTCTTTAATTACGTTGTATTCCTTCTGGTGATTTTAGGTGATTGTAGTTTCTTGCGATATCTTGTATAGTGCCTAAAATGTGCGGTTCGAACGCCTGCACACAATCGAATGATTTACTTTCGAACTTGAATTTCAGTTTTTAATAATTCATTGTGTAAATGCTCATTTTTGAGAGGGGAATAAGGCGTTGAGATAGCTTTACTTTATCTAAATTGACCATCATTAAATATGTACAGCACATTATTAAATGTGGAAATATCACCAAAATAGTTTTGCGTTTGTTGAATGTTTTGACGTCACTAGGACATTTGTTTATTTCAAATTTTTATGTTCGATTTCACGCATATCGTATCTTCCCACCAATAATTCGCAACACATTACAAATACTGAATGCAAAATAATAAATTCTGATTTTCTTTATATTTAATTTATATTTGGAGATAGATAAATTGTGTAATTTGAATGGCGTATCTATTTTACTAAAGATATATTCCCTAATTGCTTTAGCTGAGTGTATAAGTCTAATATAAAACACAACAAGTGATATAACAGTGATCCGAAAAATAAATGCATATAGTTCGTGCTAGTGATTACGGCATAATTACACAAAGTTTCTTTGTGCTTAGTAAAATTGCGTTTTACACAACGACGACGATTTAGTTTAACGGCGCTTAGGTTATTTTTCATTATACACGATACTATAATTATACACGATACTATAATTTTTCTAGAGTAGTCTTAAAACATATCTTATGACTACAATCGCAGTGATAGACATCATTCCCAATACATTTAAGCTAATGAAATGTCTATATCGAGTGAGTTGACTTTATTCAGAGAGTTGGATATTATTGTAAGCTTCCATAGTTAGTTAACCGTTTTCATTTCATAAGTACAGTCAAATAAAGGACTAGTCAAAGATTGACAGATTGATAGTGTAAATAATTACATGCTCTATAATTGTATGAAAAGTGTACAATACGAATACTATACTACCTTGATCGTTCAGTATTGCCTGTCTTTATATCAATTAATATCGGTGAT